TCTTGTGAATCATTTGTCAGTGCCAAGCCCATATAATAAATAATAATAATAAAACATGAACCTTATTTGGTGAAATAGCAATGCTTTATGGTCATTTCCATGTACTGTATTCATTAAATGTAGCCTACAAGCCTAGTTTTGACAAATTGAATGATTACCACAATGAGGAAATAAGCCTCTGTCAACAAAGCAGGATTATGGGAGACAAGGTGAATATTTATCAAAATGTACTACCAGCATTATAAATGTGCTAAAAATTTATTTAATTTTATAAATTTAAACTCCCTGAACAATAGACATTCAGATCTTGAATTCTTCCTATAAATCTAATTTCTATCTTTAAATTATTTGTTGTAGTACTCATGACCCAAATATTGCCTTTGTTGTTTCTGTAAGCTCTCTCTTACCTGACAGAATGAGCTTCCTTTCTTTAAGATACTTTATATGACTTATTGCATTTTTTAATACTTTTGCTTTTAAATCCACAGGAGTGTGCCAGAAATGAGTTGCACTTTCCACCTCCTCCGGTTTCCCGCAGTGACATCTACCATGCCGTTTTCTGCTTGTCTTGTCTCGACAGTCCGTGTTGCTCAGAGCTCTCAGCACTGGCCCAGATCAGCCGCAGCCTGCAGGAGAGCTACAGGCTTCTGCAACTGCCTGACCAGGACATAGCAGTCCTGGGCAGGTGAAAGAGGCCTACTTGCGCCTAGCCAAGCTTTACCACCCGGACTCTGGGGCTCCGACTGCAGACGCAGTGCTGTTTGCTCGGGTGGAGGAGGCCTACCGTGCTGTGCTGGCGCATCAGAGCAAGACCAAGCAACCTGATGGAGGAAAGGAGCAGAAGAGGAGGAGTCCAGAGGTACAGCACTTCCACACAGACACTACCTCAGCTACGAGGGTGTGGGTTCAGGCACACCCAGCCAGCGTGAACGTCAGTACAGGCAGATTCGTATCGACCGGGCATCTGAGCAGGTTTTGAATTACCGACAGAGGGAGCATGAGAGGGCAGCTGCTGCCGAGGGGGCGCTGGTGGAAAGGGACATGCGTCAGCGCAGCCGAAAGGTCCAGATCACCCAGGCTGTGGAACGGCTTGTGGAAGACCTGATCCAAGAGTCCATGGCCCGAGGAGACTTCAGGAACCTGAGTGGAGCTGGAAAGCCCCTCAACAAGTTTGAGCACAATCCTTATGCTGATCCAATGACCCACAACCTCAACCGCATTCTCATAGATAATGGCTACCAGCCACCCTGGGTTTCACACAACGCGACATCCGAGAGACCACTGCTCAGATTCGAAAGGTTATTGGATGGTAGGGTCAGGCTCGGTGACCCCATGACCTCCAAAGAGCACAGGCAATGGGAGCAGCTGTGTGCATCTGTAGAGGAGGAGTTAGTGAAACTTAACAAGATGGTGGACAATTACAACCTCATAGTACCGATGCAACATGCAAATGGTTCACTTTAGTTTGTCACGAGAGATTGACCGTGCTGTGAAAGGAGCCTGCCAGCACCGACTGGACCAGCAGAGAGAGAGAGACAATGAGAGAGAGGAGGAAGGAGAGAAGAAACAAGCCATTGCAGTAACCACACCTAAAAATACCAAACAAGACCTGATGTCTTGGATGAAGGCTTTGCTCAGATTAACACATTAACACTCTGACTCTAAGTGAACAGGACAGTGATTTGAGATCAGTGGTTTATTGTCAACCAATAATTACAGTCCATGGGACTATTTCACACTTGTTCACCTGCTTATTTCTGTGTATGTCAGACACAATATTGCCACCAATTTTACTCTGTGTTACAACCGTATTGAGCAATTGTAGTTGCTGTGACTGTAAAGTGTGAGGAACTGCATGTGTTGATAACAAAGATTACAACATGAACCATTTTTATGATATGATGTGAAGTTGTTTCTGTGAAATTACTGATCTGAACATACAAACCTACCTAACACTAACTGTTGGTTGCTATGTGACATTAAAGTTATGGTAATTATAAATATTGTGTTTGTATTTCTTTGTTGAGAGTGTTTGAATCTTGTTTAAGTAGCTGAATGTCTCATTCTAGTCTGGCAGCTACTCCAGTGTTGCAGGGTTGCAGATGACGATGGGCTCCTTGCTTCTGACTCCGGTACCTGCAGCTTCCCTGTGCAGAGGCTGAGCGATGACCCTGGACGGAATCCTCACCTTGGTCCAGTCGTGGGCGATGTACTGGTGGTACGGATCATGAGAGCTCTCCAGCTTCTTGGAGCGAATATAGCTGAGCATGATGCCGAAGGTGAAGAAGCTGAACATACCGACCACCAGGAGGATGTACATCATGCCCTCAGTCTGAGCGTGGGCCCGGGCTCCATCCACGTGGTGCACAGCTTGCTGGGTAGTGTAGTTCTGAGGTATTGGTGAAGAAGTACACTTGTGCTGTTGAGGCAGTGCTGCAGGAAGAGAGCAGGAGCGACTGCAGCTCGGTGGTGTTGATGTGTGGCATGACTGACATCTGCTGGACACTCAGCTAACTGCAACTGAGGGAAGAGACTGTAAGAAAAAGTCTCAGGAAAGGTCAGCCTAGAATTAATTTTGTTTTTGTATTATTAACACAGTTTGTATTTTATTATATATCTTAATATAGGTTTTATATTTAGACAAACAACAAAAAAGATGGAGGGCTAAGAGAGGTATAATAAGCAAGAATGAGACCTATATCTAACTGCGATTTTAAATAATTAGTTTAAAGTTTAATTAATTAATAATTAAACTCATTTATCCAGGAAATTAGGAGATATCAATTTAATGTGTATTTAGGGACACTTGTCATATGTTTAAATGATACCTCTGAAATGTGTTCTGACTACTACCCAACAAACTTCAGCTTGAATGCTGAATACACCTTTTTTGGTTGACCTTTCAGAGTTTGTTTTGGTGTTATGAGAGTGAATGTGAAATTGATTCCCACATATTATACCTACATCATTATTCAAGCTTGTTTTTAGTAGAAAGAAAAGCCTACCTTTGAAGGATCTGGAATCAGTTCTTGCTGTCATTGGGCATCAGCAGACATCGATAATTTCAAGTCATGTGTCTCCAGCAGGATTAGAAGCAGCTAGTCCCATAGCTAAACATCGAATATAAACGTACACCTCCCACTTTTCTTAGTCATAATGTGCCCTCCTTCATGCTCATGCTTTTATGTGGAAGAGATATGCAGCATGTCCAACATGTCACACATTTAATGAAATGAAGAGGTCACAGGGCAAGGTCAAAACCTCAGTGTAGTTACGTTGTGGTGTTGCATGAATTAAATGGCTGTCCTATACTGGTGCAATCAGCTAAAATGAACAGTTTACTGTGGATGAGAATGTTCAGTTAGCATATTGTCTTTAGATCAGACCTCATTCAGCAGTGTCATGAAATCCTAAGAAAAATGTTGAATTGGTTTAACATATTTGTTATGACTGCTTGTGGCAAAGTCTACACATTATTACACATTAATATTAACAAATATTCAAAATTGCTTGTAGATACAGTTTTGTACCTGCTGAGCAGACCATCATCTTTTATAGCTCAGACTGGTGTTGAAGCCCAGTTTGTGAATTGTGTATGTGGTTAGTTGTATTGTGTATTTAAAATAAATAAATAAATAAAAAAACCCTCTAATGTTCACATTTTGCTGGAGGAGGAGTAGCGTGTGGTCATTTTCAGGACGGTGCCGGGCTGCAGCGGGAGAACAAAGCTGCTTTCAAACTGGAGTAGTCTGGACAGTCTGCTGCAAAGCTCAGACTAGATTGAGTTACAACACAATCACCTCTAAATGTCCTTTAACTCTCTGTTGTAGTTTGTGTGTTTTTGTATGTGTGTGTCTCTGTGTGTGCATGTTGCCTGAAACGTACAAATAAGTGATGTTTAAGAGAGAGATGTTTTTACTCATATTCTCTAGTGGCTGGCAGAAACAGCAAAGGGCAAAATTCTGTCAAGAGATCAATGTATTTTCTCCAAACATTATTAATTTCTCTAAATGAACATATTTTAAACACATTACACAGTATTTACACAAGAAATGTTGTGTCTCAACAGTGGATCATTGTCCAAGTTAATACTGATAAGATCATTAGTTTCTGTTTTTAAGTCATTGCCAACAAAGTAAATGCAGCAAGTGCAGTGGACTAAAAATTATATACAAAAATATTTAGTTTATGCAAGTTAATTTACTAATTTGGACAGATTGGACTAGCACAAACATATAAATTTAGATTTACTAGAACAGTGTTGTTAAAGACATGCTGCTTAACAAACGCTTAAGCTTTGGGAGTGATGTCAATGTCATGATAAGTTTTCTCAGATACCTAGAAGGTCATGTTAATGAAACTGAAGAACTATCATTTGGTGTTTTAAAGACATGACGGTCAAAGTTCAGCACATAGAGACCTCATTTGTTACTTTTTATTTTCAACTGATGGCAAAATTATTACAAAGACAGATTTCTCTGGCATGTAGTCAAAATAGAAGTAAAGAGGACATTAGTTGCTACAAATGTTCTGGGTTATTAAGCCTTGCGTATTTACATGGTACACGCCTCAGTATATTTACTTAATAAGTCAGTCATTTGAAAGAATAGAAAATTCATCACTGGCCAATTGGATAACGGATAAACTTTTTACTTTAAGTTGTTTGGACACATTACTTTATGCTCTGGTAAATTGACATTGTCATTTTTGACATTATTCAACAATAAGAATAACCATTCATTGGATTCCCTACACTGAAGGCCATTTGTTTTTAAAAAACCTTTAAAGGCGTTTTTTTCACAGATCCATCCAATAGTCTCATAGCACACCTTTGACATTGCATTTCACTGAAATCTAAAGGAAATCTGCCTATCAGCTTCTATTTGTACTTACCATACAAGTTGCATTTATGACTTCGCAGACCAAGCGTTTAAAAATCACCTTCTCATACAGTAATTGTGTCTTTGTTAGAAAAATACAGTAATGAAGCTTGACTCTGCAGATGATCTTTTTTCACCTAGTGGATAAAAATGACAAATAAAAATACTATTTGAAAAAAATGCAAGGTAAAGAGAAAGACAGGTTTCATATGTGTCCTAAATCAGATATTGTGCAAGCCAGTAAATCTATAATAGTGTCTTGAAAGCTAAACCTAACTCACCAGTAGTGTTACTCTAGCTGCACCCCGTCACAGTTGTCTTTTGATTCTATTAGTCTGGAAGTATAAAAGAAAAGGTGAATTATTTAGATGTGAGAAACATCAGAGAGATAATCATAACAATTCACAAAAACTTTTGTGACGTTATTTATTTAAAGTTAAATAAATATAACGACACAAAAATAAAGATTACTTGTTTTCCTTGCTAAATCAAGCCAATTGTGGTGAAGCAACTTCGGAATTACATCTCATAATTTGGTCACAAGTATATTGTATTAAATGGTTAAAGATTTAAAGATAATCCAAAATTAATCACTTCAGTAAACATCAACTCACTGTGCCTGAGCCTTGAGAGCTTTACGGGCCTCCCGAGCTTCGTGCTCCTCCGAAATCTTCTTATAACAGTAGACCATAACTATATGAGCCACAGCTGCAGAACCACGATCAGCACGTACATCATTATCTCTGAGATCACCGCTGTCAGCTCCGGATTGGCTGGGAAAGGGAACCAACAATGCTGCATTTTTAGGAAACATGTCCACCAGGAGACACTGTGTTTTTCTGCAGACCCTCACAAACATAAAGTAAAGCTGCTTTAAAGTCAGAAATCATCTCATTGATAAGACAAGCCTGAACATCGTTCAAGTTGACAAACAGGAAAATACTCTTGCTAATA